CAAAACTCCGCATTTGAACAGTCAATAGCAAATACTTAAACTAATAACAAAACATACTTACAGTCGCTGATTCAGAAGCGCCAGATTGTCATAGCAAAGTCGGAATTGACCTTTTTTTTTTTTTTTTTTTTTAAATAGCCTTTGTGCACAGCCTGCCTTGTACTCTTCTAGGTTCAAAAAACTCGTCCATAAAATGCGTTGCACAAATTCGAACATCTGGGTTGTGCTGTTCTGTTGTAAATAAATCTTAACCAATGATTCCTAAATGCATCTACTTCCGGAAGGCCAAATAAAGTGCTTTTGCTTTCGCACTGAAACACACAGCGTCTCCCTGACATGCTGCTTCAACACTAACTGCATTACTGAAACCACGCCTTCTTTCTTTGCGTGCACATTTGGGCGCATTATGCAAATATTTCCACATCGTGACGTAGATATGTGGGGGCGTGTTAGAACGAGCCGTTTTAGGAGGGCGTGGTTGACTCTTAACTTTTATAAAGAATATCTCTTTGGATTTGAGACTTTAGTCTTTGCAACTTTACAGATCTTCTTTATGCACCAAGAGCTTGTAACACTCCAAAGAGAAAGGAAAACTTGAAATCGCATCATATGACCCCTTTAAGAGATAGAGGAAATGTTTCTGATCCAAGCTACCTGATGATGGCAGTAATGCACTGTTAAGTGTGGTTGCCAGTAAAAGAAAGAAGAAGAAGAAGAAGATCTGCCGTTGATCCCGCCTCGCGGCGATGACGTCATCACTACCGCGCGTTCACTCCGCGTCGAGTCTCCTGAGGAGAGGTGAGCGGCTCACGGTCTTCTGCCGTGTTATCATCGAGTACACTGTTTGTCGGCTTAAACACTGATGCTCTAATGCTGTGAGGAAAACATGTTAAATTCACCTGAGTGGTTTTGTGTTTGTGTGTTCGTGTGAATGGTTGTTTCGATGTTTGGAGTGATACTGTTGCTGTTACTGTGTCCTGCTCTGTGAGAGGAATGGATGCGAACCGTTATCAATTTTGCTGCTGCTATTTTTTATAACGTCGATCCTCTTTTAAGATATATCTTTCGCAGATTACATTTGTTATAGTTATTTTACATGGTTAAAATTAAGAACAGATACTGCTAAATACTTCATATAATTAGTCTGTATTATGTGTGCTATTTTAAATCTACAGAGACATGAAGAGGTAATACATTGGAAACATTACATTTGTGCTTTGATGTACTCTTTTGTATTTAAAGAAGATTTTATGATCACTGTCAATTACTGCACATAAAACTAAAGCATGTTAATTTAATTACTTTATTTGCTCTGAACTATATTTAGATGTGCGTTAGTGTAGTTATTTGACTCTAATTGTTAACGAAGATGGGTGTCATCAAATGTCTGTGTTTATACTTTGATTTTTCATTTTTATTCTTACTGTTATTTATATTTGTATGAATTTACATTGTATTCTGTTCTATATTTCTAGACAGATATCTTCTTATATGTTAATACTGGGGCAGAATGAAAAATAAAATATGGATAGAAATTTTAACTATAGAAAGACACAAAACAGAAATGCACAGATTGTGTGAATTAGCACATATTGCAGTGTTACTGAATGAGCATTTTAAATTCATGTGCTCTTTGTGTTGATGCTGTTACTTTTAATATAGTAATATAATGATCTACAAAGAGACAACACTTTGTATTTGTAAGGCTCTGGTCTCTTCAAATATAAAATTTGGAGGACATTTGCTTCACTTACATAAATGTTTAAATCTGTAAATTGAGCAATTCTGCTTCTTCCACACAGAAATTCATGCCCAGTGAAGCTCCTCCCACAACAATCACGCCTTCAACAGTTCAACAATAAATGCTGGAACATTCCCATCAGTTTACAAGTGAAGACCAGTGCTGGGGAAAGTTACTTTTAAAAGTAATGCATTACAATATTATGTGTACTTTTTTTAAATAAAATTCATGTATGTTAGATAATTTTGTTGTTGATCAAACATATTTAATAGTTCTCCCTGTAGAAACATGGGATTTGTGCCTATAATACTTACAAATAGTTAAAGTTTCAGAGAGACATAATTTATAAAAATTCATCAAAAAGAGATATATATATATATATATATGTTTACATCAGGGTTCATTTTTGTCTCCTTTTACAATTAACTGAAAATAAACCATTTTTACTTTTATTTCAGAGTTAAATGAAGAAAATTAGGAGAATGAAGAATCAAGTGAAGTTGAGGAGAAAAATCATGTTAAAACTGGAGAAAAACCTTTGAGTTGCTCTCAAAGCAAACAGAAAGATTTAAAGAAAAGAACCAAGAAATCTTTCACCTGCACTCAGTGTGGAAAGAGTTTCTCACGCAAAACAAGGCTTGATGTTCACATGAGAATTCACACTGGAGAGAAACCGTTCACTTGTGATCAGTGCGGGAAGAGTTTCACTCAATCATCAACTCTTAAGAATCACATGATCATCCACACTAGAGAGAAACTGTACACATGTGATCAGTGCGGCAAAACGTTTTTGAGGGCTTCAGACCTGAAGAATCACCTGAGAGTTCATACAAAGCAGAAGCCACATTCATGTTATTTGTGTGGAAAGAGTTTTTCATGTTTACAAAGTTTGAAAGACCATCAGAAAATACATACTGCTGTGAGAGAGTACATGTGCTTTGAGTGTGAAAAGACTTTTACTTCAGCGAGCCATTTACTTGACCCCAAGAGGTCAAGTAAATACTTACAGCGGATCTAAATATTTATAATTAATTATAACTAGTTATGATTAATTATTCATATTTCCCCTTTGAGCTGATTCGCTACAACAGTAAGTAAATTATCTTCAGATCCAGGACTTTCAGGTCTGATGCTGCGTTCTCACCAAATGCAACACAATAATGCATCAAGCAATAAAATATCATCTGGATAAATCTGTCCTAACCAGACATTACAAGTGACATGACAAAGAAACATTATCTAAAGATTTCATAGTGAATAAAGTTCATCTTCAAAACCAGCAGATTCAACTGAGAGATTCAGATCCACTCAAAGATGGAGTTCCTCTCCAAAGAACAATGTCAAAAAATGTATCAGTTTGTTTCATGATATCAATGATATCATTGCTCTTTTTTATGAGTTTCATATTTTAAATTTTTTTAATGCTCTAAACAATGTAATGACATCAAAAAATACAAATTGTTTCCTAAAATGTTTTGCCAGGTCTTAAGAGGGTATGGGATTCTTTTGATAAAATTTTTCTCATGAGCATATATGCGTTTTTACATTTTAGTATTTTAGTTAGCAAGTCAAACATGGTAGGGTTACATATATGTAGGATGACAGGAATGAGTGTTTCCATCACAAGCCTGCATAAAACAGTATAAAATCTCAAAGACAACATACACGATGATCTGAAGGATATGTGTGTTCATTCAAAGAAAGGTTTTCCTATGAATTAATTAGAGAAGAGTCCATTTCTACTGTGCATTGTGTCTCTTCCTATGGAAAAGGTAGTGATTTTCTCTACTCACATTCCTTTGGGCCATAAAACCAGTGATATCAGCATTGGTTGCCATGGTGACCAGGGGGGCCTGGTGTCGTTCGCAGACATCCTGGCACCCAGTTTATTGGGTGAGGCGTCTGTGACGATTTGTTAATCTAATGAATAACTTATTTGTAAAATCAAATGAAAAATTGTGTGTTTGATTGGTCCAGACGCTACAATGTGCATTATAAGCACTAATAAACAGCTCCAATAGGTTAATAATACACACAAAATGCTGGACAGAATCACAGTTTTGTTGCTACTTTAGTTGCTGCTTCACTTAGCATGTAGAAACATACAGGAATAACTACGTATTTATCTTAAATGTGCCACAAATGTCTTTTAACTATGTTTTGTAGTAACCGAGAGAAGTGTCATGGCAGAAGAAATGGCAGAATTTCCTCAGACAGCTGTGAACACCGGCAGTGCTTGGAGTCAGACAGTAGACGTCATCTTTATTATACTACTCTGACTGGACTAGCAAGCAGTTAGAGTCCATGAGAAAGTACGTTCAAGTAGCCTACATTTCTGCACTGACCATGATTATACAGAATGTAATGTTTTCTGCAACAATTGGGGGGAATCTTAGCTAAGAGACAAACTGACCAACAGGAAGCTATGGATCTACTGAATGTGTATTTTTCAAGCATTTTATTGTGGCATTCACTGTTATTTTTCTGCACAGTGATGACTAGTGAGAAGTGTTTCTACTAATTTACTTAAAAGTATAGTTAACCCAGAATTCTGTTATCATTTACATTATTACATCAATTCCCCCTCTTTTTTTTTTCTTCAAACCCCTGACTTTTGTTTTTCTGCAGAACTGAAAAGAAGATACTTTGAAGAATGCAGGTAATCAAAACCAACAGGTTTGTCACGTGTAGACGACATAAAGGGAGTCAATGATTTTCATTTGTGGGTAAACTATCTCTTTAATTAGGATGATACACACTTTAAATTTCAATTATACTGGACACAGCCACTTAATGTGCTCGAATTAAATGGGTAAATAATAATACGTAAATAATCTTTCAAACCACATGTGCTTTAATATTCAAAATTCAGTTTGGTGCATTCAGTTATACCCTCAAGTCGGCAGCTCCGCTGTACTGTCAGACTCTGTTCGGTCATTCGCCCAGAATATGCCCCGCCTCCGGACAGCGCGCTGTCAGTTAGCGGACTCATTATGGACACGGCACGGATTAGCAATCTGGACGCGCTTTTTTTTTGTTTTTTGTTTTTTAACCGGTGCCGTCTCAGAAATCCTCCTCAGAGTGGAGAAGCTGCGGCCGGCCAGGTTGAAGAAGACTGAACTCGGTAAGAATACTTTTAAAATATGCTTTATTTGTACAGTTGCCAGTAACATTAACATTAATAAAGTTGTTAATTGCTTTGTTGTAGTTTTTACTTTTTGAAATTGCGTTGTGGATTGTCCAGTTAAGGTTAGCTCTTTAGCATTATTAGCGTTATCATAGATTTGAGTAACATGTTAATAATAGGCCTATTTGGATGGGATCCGGCTTTTAATCGTATATGTAATGTTAGGTAATTTTTCACCCCTCTTTAGGAATAACTGCAGGCGAGAATAAACTTTTTTTTTTCATTTAAATTTGGTTCTAGAGTATTAGTTCAAGTCTATTTTCATTTATATTTCGACAAATATAAACAGCTTGTGAGCCACAAATACCAAAATGAGTGGCTAACTGCGCTAAAACGTTCAAATACATACAAAATTATGTCAAAATGCCCGTCTTGGCGAGTAGCAGTCAGTTTCGGAACGTTAAATAGTTGAGAAAGAGAACGCATGTTGTGTAACTAGGGCCGCATTAACCATTGGGCTAGGCGGGGCTGAAGCCCCGGGGCCCGAGCCAGGAGGGGGCCCGTGATTGGCTGTGGAGTAGATTGACGGACATCGGTAGCGCCGATCGCCAAAGCACCACCACGCCCCTCACTTTTTAGCGCTAATATTTAGTGGAGTTTTCCGTAAATTCCATGCATTACCATTAGAGATTAAAACGTGACATTTGAATTTGTTTTAACAATCAAATGCATTTATTATATATTTGACTTTTGAACGAACTGTGCACGTAGCCTATCTATCAGGTGATCGCTGCGCCTAATGTCTGCATTCACCTCTCTTCACTTCATTCTGGTGTAATCTAGAAACGGTCATGCAAAGAACAATCTTCGATAAGTAAAAATGTCAGCTATTCTAAAAAACAAAATAGTGAGAGAAAAAAATGAAGAGAGAGGGGAAAACATGAGTTAGTCACTAAAATCCACAGCTAGTTTATATTACTAAAGTTGATGATGGAGTGGGAGTTGTGGAACCAAATGGACCGGAGATATGGAGCAGATAAAAACACAGCGTCATCATCCCCACAGATTTTAGGTTCGTTTGATTATTAAATTGATAGATGTATAGTGCTTTTTGTGTTTGAACAAACTCTATAGGGCTAGTGTATTCGCTTATGGGTTGATAAATTAATTTTGCGCGTCATGATGTAAGCTTTTCATTTAAACGCATTTTAAGCATTGTGGTTTAAAAACTAATTTAACTGTTCAGGGACATTTAGCAGTGGGGCAAAATTCACTTTGGCAAATGCGCGCGGATACGCGCGAGCGCACTTGCTCGTACAGCGCCTGACTGGAGTTATTTTTCGCGCCTTGTGTTTAAACGTTCGAACACACATAGTTGTGTGTCAAAATGCCTGTCTCCGACCTCAAAACTTAAAATAATGTCATCATTTACTCAGTTTCAAGTTGTTCTGAACCTGTATGAATTTCTTTGTACTCCTCAACATAAATAAAATAATATTTTGAAGAATATTCGTAAGTTAACCACCAGAAAGTTTCTGGTCCCTGTTGACTCCAATAGTGTTTTTTTTTATACTATGGAAGTCATGGGGGCACAGAAACTGTTTGGTTACCAGTAGGCTATTGTTCCAAATATAAGCGTTTGCATTCAACAGCAGAAGGAAACTCATACAGGTTTAGAACAACAACACCATAACTTTAATTTTTGGGTGAACTATTCCTCCAAAGCAGCCTAATATAGCTGCTGTTGCCATTTGTGTCAATAATGTAAATTATACATTAGAAAGAAAATCCCTCACTGTCCTTGACCGAATCACTTTTGTAAAATAATGTATATTGAATTGACACAGTGAAGACTATTCAGTCTATTTGTAGTCTATTTATTTTATACAATATATTTCTTATTCAGTGCTTTAAGTGTTAGTAGGTCAATTTCTTTGTTCTGTTGTAATTCATGACTGTTTACTTGTCTTCAGTAAGTTTGTTTTTACATAGGCTAGTATTTATTTATTTTTTTTATATTGGAATTGGTAACAAGAATTATGAAACTTTGATTGGATAAAAATCTGATTTTAAGCTATATCATTATTGTGACGGGGGGCCCTGCAGTAAGTCATAGCCCCGGGGCCCAACTTTCTTGTTGCTATGAACATACCGGCGATGCTAGACAGAAAGCGCTGTTGCTGCACCTCGCTGGTGAACGCGTGCATGACATCTATGACACGTTTGCAGCAGACGAAGATGGCTATGCAGAAACAAAAACAAAACTAAATGGCTATTTTTCTCCTAAAAAGAATACACAGTACCTTGTCTATCAATTCAGAAAGGCTGTACAGCAACCTGGAGAAAAACTAGATACGTATCAAACTAGACTCAGAATGCTTGCAAAAGACTGTGAGTTTGCCGATGTTGACTGTGAGATAAAGGCACAGTTGATACAAAGCTGTACTTCGTCCAGGCTGCGTAGAAAAGCACTCAGAGAACCAGACTTGACACTAAAGGCTTTGCTTGATCATGGCAGAACACTAGAAATCTCTGAATAACAAGCAGTGGGGATTGAACAAAATGCAGCGGGTGCTGTCAACGCATTACATTACAATCATAAGCAGCAGAGTGAATTAAAAACCACCAGCAGAAGGACGTCTAACACTCAGTGTAGAAATTGTGGAGGAAAATATCCACATCAAGGTGATTGTCCGGCTAAAGGAAAAGAATGCAGAGCATGCGGAAAGTTGAATCACTATGCAAAAGTGTGTCGTTCCAGCATTAAGAAACTCACTCTGCAAGTTAAGCATAATGACCCTCCCCATCATAAACAACGCAACAAACCACAAAGGGTCAAGCAAGTCGCTACAGCATGCACCAGCCACACACAAGATGATTCATCGAGCAGTGAGGATGCTTATGTGTTTGTTTTGAACAGCAATACATGCCAGCAACAGCCTCAGACACAAATTGAAATAAACGGCACCAAAGTTACAGCTCTGATTGATTCCGGAACAGCTGTAAATATTATCAGCAAAGCAGTGTTCAACATGCTCACACCCAAGCCACAGCTCAGAGCAGCGACAATTAAGATCTTTGCGTATGGCTCTGACACTGCTCTGCCTATTGTTGGTGTATTCCAGTGCAATATACAAGCATCACATAGCACTACAGAGACCAAGTTCTATGTTCTTCAGAATGATGGACACACCCTTCTGAGCTATGGAACAGCACAAGAGCTTGGACTGATAAATATCACCAGTGCTGTTAATTATACAAACACCATCCGCACAGTAGCTGATGAACTTGTTGAAAGCTATCCAGAACTGTTCAAAGGAATAGGCAAACTGAAAAACTTCCAAGTGAAGCTGCATATCAATAGTGATGTCCAACCTACATGTCAGCCACATAGACGAGTGCCATTTCATATTCGACAGAAAGTTACAAAATTTTAATAGAAACAATAACGGGTCCAACGCCATGGATTTCTCCAATTGTAACTCCACCAAAACCAAAAGATCCTGATAAAGTCAGGATATGTGTTGACATGCGCCAGGCCAATACAGCCATACAACGTGAGCGTCATATAACACCCACTATTGATGATGTCATACAAGAGCTGAATGGTGCAAAAGTCTTCTCAAAACTTGATCTCAGAGCAGGTTACCATCAGCTAGAACTTCACCCAGACAGCCGATACATTACTACATTCACCACACACCTGGGACTAATGAGATACAAACGCCTACATTTTGGCATACCTTCTGCAGCGGAGGTGTTCCAGAATGCCATAGCACAAACACTGCAAGGCATAAGAAATAAAAAACCTCAGTGATGATATCATTGTATACGGCGTCTCACAAAGGGCACATGATGAAGCTCTCCGAGCTTTCTTTCAAAGACTAAAGGACAGTGGTCTTACACTCAGTCGTGAAAAGTGTGAGTTTAACAAGCACAGACTGGAGTTTTACGGATTTATCTTTTCTGCTAGTGGTATCTTAGCAGATCCCAAAAAGGTTGCAGCCATACTGCAAGCCAGTGAGCCCAAAGATCCTGGGGAGATCCGAAGCCTACTCGGAATGGCAAACTACTGTTCACGGTTTATACAGGACTTTTCAACGATCAGTGCACCTCTTCGTGAACTGACTAAAAAAGGCACACCATGGCAATGGTGTGATACACACAAGCAAGCTCTTCAGCAGCTCAAAGATGCTTTAGCCAGTGCCACCACTATGTCCTACTTTGATCCCTCAAAGGACACTGAACTCGTTGTCGATGCTAGCCCGGTAGGCCTCGGTGCTATTTTGTCACAAAGGCACAATGGAGAAAAATGCATCATTGCATACGCCAGTCGTGCACTCAGTGATGTTGAAAAACGATACTCACAAACTGAACGCGAAGCTCTAGCCATTGTATGGAGCTGTGAACATTTTCACTTGTACCTTTATGGCCATTCTTTTACTCTAGTTACCGACCACAAGCCCCTAGAACTGATATGGAATAATCCAAGATCGAAGCCACCAGCCCGAATTGAAAGGTGGGGCCTCAGACTCCAGCCGTACCAGTTCAGAATTGAGTACAGAAAAGGGACTGACAATCCTGCTGACTTCATGTCCAGACACCCTGTCTCATTCGAGACAGAACACAAGACGAGGGCATCTAAAGTAGCAGAGGAGTACGTTAATTTCATGGCTCTGCAGGCAACACCAAAGGCCATGACACTAGACGAGATAAAAACAGAGACAAAAAAAGATCCTGTTCTTCAGCAGGTCTGCTCACACATAAGAGACAACTCATGGCACATAAATGCATGTGACCCACTTTTCGCAGACACCCTAAGACATTACAGAAATGTCCGTTCTGAGCTCACAGTGTCATCGGAGGATGATCTCATACTCAGAGGTTTCAGAATAGTCGTACCCTCCACTCTAGAACAAAGAGTATTATAGCTTGCCCACGAGAGCCATCAAGGCGTCGCTAAAACGAAAAGTCTTCTGAGAGAGAAGGTGTGGTTTCCCAATATTGATCGAAGAGTCGAGGCCATGATCACAAATTGTATTGTTTGTCACGCAAACAACCCCGTCACTCATGTTGAGCCGCTTCGAATGTCTCAATTGCCAGAAGCACCATGGCACAATCTGAGTGCAGATTTCTATGGACCATTACCAACCGGGGAGTATCTGTTGGTCATTATAGATGACTACACAAGGTGTCCTGTTGTTAAAATTCTTCACACTACTTCAACAACTGCGGTAAGTGAAGTGACATGTGGCCAAGTATGGTGACCCATTCTCGGAATTAGTGCTCTGCATTTAACCCATCCAAAGTGTACACACACAGCAGTGAACACACACACACACACACACACACCGTGAACACACACCCGGAGCAGTGGGCAGCCATTTTTTGCTGTGGCGCCCGGGGAGCAGTTGGGCGCAACCTTGGGTTACGAGTCCGACTCTCTAACCATTAGGCCACGACTTCCCTGGTAATACCAATTCTTGATGATGTTTTCTCTATGTTCGGAATTCCCAGTGTGCTTAAAACTGACAATGGCCCTCCCTTCAACAGCAGTGCGTTCACACAGTTTGCTGACTACCTTGGGTTCCGTCATAGAAAAATAACTCCCCTCTGGCCACAAGCAAATGCTACAGCAGAGCGGTTTATGCGCACATTGGGGAAAGCCATACGAACTGCACACACTCAAGGTATCCCATGGAAACAACAGTTAAATGTCTTCCTTCGTGAGTACAGATCCTCACCTCACTGCACAACGGGAACTTCACCTGCTGAGTTGATCTTTAAAAGGAAGATGCGTACAAAAATTCCCATAGCTACTCCGAGTACCACCGATGCTGATGATGACATCCGCGAAAAAGACAAAAAGGCAAAGGATAAAATGAAAGCCTTTTCTGACACCCGAAGACATGCCACACACATCAACATCAAACCTGGTGACATAGTGTTGTGTCGGCAACAAAAGCGGAACAAACTAACGACACCATACAACACAAAGCCACTCACAGTCACCAAAGTAAAAGGCACAATGGTGACTGCAGAAGGGCATGGACACTCCATTACAAGGAACAGTTCATTCTTTAAGAGACTTAACCAGGAGACACCAGATCTTTTGTTTGAGCTAGGATTTGAAAATGAGACAGAAGAAACTGACTCATGCACGGTCCCTCGGCGATATCCTGTTAGACATAACCATAGGCCTCCTGCCTACCTCTCTGATTATGTTTAGGTAGACTGTGTGGTGTAACTACATAGTTGCATGGATCGTTCAAAGCAGGTGTTTCAGACTGTTTAGAAAACAAGGACTGTTCTGACTTTTTCTTTCAACATAAAGTGTTCATATTATTCAGAGATGGAGTTTACAACAAACTTTCTACAATACTCAAGGGTTAAATATATTAATGTTATGTTATCATAACAAACAAAAGTTACTGTTGTGTGTAACAAGTTGCAAAGTAAAAAAAAAAAAAAGAAAGTGATGTAATGTATTTGGTTTGACCTGTGACGACACAGGACGCGACGCCCCTCCCATGTAGGGCATATGATAGTATGCAACCACAAGTAATGCGGCAAAAATAAAAGATTGTTAGTGTTCCAGTATTCCTGTCTGCTATCGTCTCTACAACATGTATGTGAAAGATGTGATGACGTCGAGAAACACTACAGTATAGACCCACTAAATGAACGGGTCCAGATCGGATTCTAGTCTATATAATGTTTGTTGGCTCTATTTTAGGTATTTCCATTTCTAGTTTTGGCCAGATTACCCATTTTAAATAAGGTATAGACCCACTAAATGAACGGGTCCAGATTGGATCCGGGCCGGATGAGTTACTTAACCAGCGGGTCCTGATCGGATCCGGTTCGGATCCGTTTCTTTATCAACGGGTCCGGATCGGATCCGGGCCGGATGAGCTACTTCATGAACGGGTCCGGATCGGATCCGGGCCGGATGAACCTTTATTAGCGGATCCGGGTAGGGATCCTTATCTGTTCCGGATCCGTTGCGCTGTGCAAGTGGACTCCGATACGGACCTGTTTTGCGGATCCGTTCCGGAGCTTGTGGTGTCTCCGGGGCGGATCCGCTCCGGAGTCATTTTGCTATCTGGGATATTACGTCAGCAATACAAACCAACCTGGTAACACATATATTCTACATTAAAAATACATTTAGAATGAACAATAACTGCTGTACAAAGAGTAAAAAAATAAAAAATAAAATAAAAAAATAAACATACCTAATGCAGAAAAGCCGCCTCTTTTTCCGAATTGCGTAGATGACCACTATCTTTCTTTCATCTCTTCTGATAAATGTTCAGTCAAATCGTTTTCTGTGTGCTAGATCAGAGCTAGAACCCTGCATTTCAGCCCGGGCCCGAGCCCGACGGGCTCCGACTTTTTTACGCCCCTCGGGCTGGGCTTCAGGACAATTTTCACGTCATAGTTCAGACGCGGGCCGGGCCTCGGGCCTGTTTTAGGCTTCTCCTTATTTTTATATT